ATCAATTGTCTCATCAAAGCTAATACTCTGAACTGAAAGGCGTTTGTCTTCGGAACTGAATTGCCATCAATTGATAGCACTGTTTGTCTCCTGAAGACCACTCTTTGCCACTGTTTGGAAACGCATTCATATCTGAAACTGTCTTCGAGTGAGAGATAAGACAACTACTCTTCGCACAAATCATCACCGAATCGATCCAAAGAGTCCTTTGCATACATTTCACACATTTTTGTGACACAAAATCAATTGATAACTGAATTGAGAAACACTTGTGATTGAAATGAATGCAAACTTATGGCAATTAATAGTTATTGTATAACGACTATCAAAGCCAATGTCGACTAATTTTAGTTTTCAAGTGCTTTACAGTATTTTTGTGTTAAATCTCGCGCTTATTATTGCAATGAAAAGTTTATTAACTTAAATTTAATGTACCATCGTGGTGGTATTATTCAGTTTATTAATGTTTTAACTTTAATTAAATTTATTTTAACTGTAATTTATCTGGTAATAAATATTTTGAATTTTTTGATTTAACATTTTAATTTTATATCTATTTTAATATTTGTTTAGTAAATTAAAAATTTTAATGTATTTATTATATGATGATTAAATTTATTATTATTATTTTTTAATACAAGTTATTTGCAAATGATATGCAATTGTGATACACAATTTCTGTAGTTAATAAATTAAAAATCAAATGAGCAAGGCAACAATTGGTTGTAAGCTTATAAGATAGGAATCTAATTTTTTAAAATAAATAAATAAAAGTATTTTATTGATATATTTATTTTAAAAACTGTAATAAAATATTTAATGTATATTTTATGTGAATAAGTAAAAAATGGTTAAAAACAATTTCATAGATTTAAGATTAGATTTAAGTTTAATTTATAAGAGTGTGTAAAACAACTGTCAATGTATTGCAATACAAAAGGGCTATCAATGAGAGTGTGTATCAAATATGAGCTCAAAGAGTGTATATAAAAGGACTATAAATATAAAGTACCATGGTACAACAAACAGCGCTGTGTATAAATGGTTAACCAACAAAATGATCATTAAGAGTAAGATTGCCCTAGTCCTTTTTATTGGGTATTTATTTATTATAAAATCAATTTAAACAATTGAAAAGCTATTAAACATTATCATTACATTAAATAATTTAGTTTAAATAATACATTTAAAATAACTAGTATTATTTTAACCGTGTTCTCAATGTTAGTTACTAATACAGTTAATCATTACAGTATTATATTTATCAAATTTAATAAATTACAAACAATAATAACTTTACTAACAACTTGTTAAACAATTTCATCTCATTTTAATGAGTTATATCTCAAACTTAATCATAATAATAGGCCAGTCGTGTGACGGGCGCCGCATTGGCCCCACGTTTGGGTTAAAATGGAGTGAATTTTGTACCGAAAACATTGGTCTAATAGACAGTCCCTACCAATTGAATTGCCGTCGATGTGCTCTATTCAGGTCAAGTACTTTACCATAAAACCTATTGTAACATCAATTATTACCCACATTGTTTGTTTTGTCACATATAGTAAGTGTTAATTAATCCCATTATAATCTTATGGGTTGAGAATTAATTGTGTAAATAATTTTTTTTAATTATTGAGCATTAAAATTGATTTACGTGATTTTTAATTTATATTTTATTGCCAATCATAATAAAAAT